TAAAACGGTAGCCATTAAAGATGGCAATAGTTGTACTGAATTGTTGCAAACAGCAGCTTTTGAGATCACGCTAAAACATGGCGGAGAAACGCCGTTTTTTCTACACTGCCGAAACATTAATTGGCCGTTGGCTACCGAATAGCGTAAGCGTTAATGTGTGTCTTTTCGTAGCACTGTCATGGCGTTGCTTATTGTATCCCGACTCACGCCTTTAGGGCCTAGGCTACCGACTGTCGACACGAACTGTCATTTCCATACAAATGAAGTTTTCGACTTTCTACATACACTACTGTTAAGCCATCTTGGCTAGACCCCTGGTCTACACTTTGCTACAAACAGAAAGTGTCAAGAATATGAACGGCAGACTAAAATTAAATTGTATATGGCTCAGAAATGTGTATCTTACGCAGAAACAAATAAAGTGTATGATCCAGTTTCAAAATCTTTTGCTCATATAGTTAAGTTTTCAAACACCCAGAATATTCCTAATTCTCCTGTCCCACATGTATCGCCTTCCTCTCCCTCGATTCCGTCGGATAGTAGATCTTATAAGAAAACATTATTTGCTAAACCAACATCCCCCAAACTAAAACGACTGGGGTATAACAAAACAGAACACATCAATTTGATAAAGGACTACGACGCTCCAGCTCTTTCTAACGGGTCGCTTTAATAAACAGTAACCTTAACAATAATGAAAAAAAAGGGTCCGTGTACTTATGTACGCGCGTAAGAAGTTATACTTCTTTGGCAATATTAAAAATAGTTTGGCTTTGTTCCACCTCCAGTTTTTGATGTTTCACAGCGATAAGATGAAAACTCTTTTTTTGTATTCAATTTAGTGCAGTTACACTGATTCATCAATTGTTTTTTGTCTCTTTTCCTTATATTTGCTAGATAAAATCAGAAAAATTACATGTTTTGATTAAACAATGTGGTTAATTTTTTAATCAAAACATTACTCGATAATAATAATAATACATACGGATAGTTAACCTCAATTGTATTGAAGCACTTAGGAAGGTTGATGAGCACAGTTTTTTCACAAATATTAATTAGTATTGGTTTAAATATTCATTTTAAATCACTTCTGATTATAATTCAAAAAGCATCGCTAAATTTCTTTGAAAAAATAATTAAAACTCCTTTATTTGTTTAAAAGGTAAATGACAAATGTCATTATGGTCATTCAAAATTGTTGGCATACGAACTTCACGCATATTCTATTTCTTTTTACTTGTAGATTGTCTTATTCCTATCTCGCTCGCGCACGCTATAATCACACTCCTAATTTTGTGTCACGGGTGCGCGCGCATTGTAAAATTTCACTCTCATAAATTTTTCATAACGCGCCTAAAGAAGTATAACTTCAAAAATGTTCTCAATCTCTGATATAATGGAACTTGTGACTACAATGAAATCCATTTGACAACAACGTAACCGAACAACGTCGCCCAAAGATTACTTCCTCAACTCAATTAAAATCCTTTTATGCGTCACGAACGCGAACAAATAATCCAGTGGAATTGCAGAAACGCTATCTGCAATAAAAATGATTTAATCCATTTGCATAATAAATTTGAACCATTTGTCTTAACTCTGTCGGAAACATGGCTTCGCCCGGAATTGACTCTTCGAATTCCAGGTTATGGTTTCCTCCGACAGGACTAGGGGGTCTAGCCATATTGGTGTCGAAAAGTATTCTACATACACTACCGCTTTTGCGTAATTGTATTGTCGAAAACGCTTCGTTCGTAGCCAAGAGGCATGTCGATACATTACCGCAAAGTCGACAGCGTAGAAGCGAGCTGCTGTTCGTAGCACCTTATTCCGTCATATTGTCTCTGGATTAAACGTATTCCTAATGTCACTTTTATAAACAAATAAAAGTTAAAAATTTTACAATATTATTGTAACTTTGCAATTGGAAGCTGCAAAATGGACATTAGAATGTCAGCAAGGTCGGAACAATTTTCGATTTAAGTGGAATTTACGAAAGGTGCAAAGTGAATATATGAATTTTAATTGAATGTTTAAATTAATTATGGTTTGTTTCATGTTTTCTCAGAAATTTAAGGTTACAAAAATACAATATTTTGAAATTGCATAATCGTGATATATAATAATTAGTAGTACTCATACTTTGATATTTTTAGGATTTGACCTCACAACTAATCTGCAAAAGGAAGAAGCAACAGATTTTGTTATCGCTTAGAAGAAACAATAGAAATAGTACTGTGGATTGATAAATAAATAGTGAAAATAAGGTTGACTAGAAGTTGATAAAGTCCAATGAATTAAAAAACAATAGAAAAAAACGTAGACTAGTGTGAACACTGAAATTAGAGTTTGATTTAAGCTTTAATTAGGTTTGGTGTTTGTGCTTGAACATTTTTAATGTCAATTTGAAAGCAGATTTATATATAAGTGTAGATTTTATTAGTGATTTGCTACTAGTTGGAATTATCTCTGTTTATGTCCAACAAACAATATCAGTTTAAGTTAAGAGTCATAAAGGTTGATTGTTTATAATAAATTTATACTTTTAGAAAGTGAGAATTGAAAATCAGCAAGTACTCAATGAAATGAAAAGAGGGATTAATAAAAATTATAAAATAGAAACTTAGTCTGGTATGAAATTATAACCCTTAATCAACCTTTGATTCCATATTGATGCTCCAACATCTTAGATATAAATTTAAGTTTGACGCTGATTTTAAGTTAATATTTATGTCAATTAGCTTTTGGTTATATCAGTGATTTGCTACTAGTTAATATGTAAATGCAAAATCTGTTAAAGTAAGAAATGAATAAACATTGTATGTTATGTATTTGTCAGTTTTATTTTTGGTAATTTACCTATGTCTTCTTTAGTAGGAAAAGCCATTAAAGTGGTTAACAATATTAGTTTATTTTACAAGAATATACAGATAATGCATATATGAATGACCCGTACCTACTAATAGTTAGGAATATTAAACAAACAGGTATTAAATATAAAAAATGCTACAGTTATGGTTATTTTTTATTAAAATAAGGCACCAAATATCTTCCTTACCATAATGCAGTCTACATAGAAAAATAAGCATATGTAACAACTTATTAAACAATACAGACATTACTACTGTACACACACAGGTGCACCAAATTCAATGCATTACTACCTAATGTAGATGTATTCATATTTATATATGTAGATAATTAACTAATAAATGTAAGTGTTAATTTGCACCAATTTCAATATCTTGTGTGCTGTTATATACAAAAAATTGTTCAATTCATAAAACCTAACGTTAGATGTTGTGATGATTTCATAAAATTACTATGATACCTACAGTTACTATGAATACATCCTGGGTGATTGTAAATAATAATAGTTATTGTAAAGATATAATTCTTCCCAAAATCTACAAATGCAGTTTGTTTATAATAATATCTCATTAATATTCAAACTGCTGACCTTATTAAGATTAAATGTGGAAGAACATAGTTTCAGTTACTGTTTCCTGTTCATGAGGTAATGTTACTCAAACCAAACCAACCATTATTTCATACTCCACTTGTCTTATTTTTTACATTATTCATAAAATGCTTCATTCCCCATTATCAAATTCATTTTCAGATACATAATATAGCACTTAAATTAATTAAAAGATAAGACTTTAATAAAACTTGTCCATTTGTGGTTTTTTTTAATATTTTTAGTTGTCTTATTAGCTTCTCTTTTTCTGAAAAGAAAATATTTTAGTTAGTACTTTGATCAAATAGAAAACTGACAAACTAAACTGTAAGATCGGTCCAAGGTTTGTTCAATAGGTAACTTTAATATTAAAACTCTTTACTTAATTCTAAACTTAAAAATATACTTAATTTGTCACTTTGCTGCTTATTGTCAATTAAAGTTTTTAACAACCAAACAATGTCAGTAACTCCCAAGGGACTTGAATTCAAACTTCTCATTTATTAACAATATTATAATAACTTCTCTAGTATATTGACTTAGTAAATAATTAAAGAAAATATCTGCTTACGATTACTTAGTATTGCTCACTAGATTTTATATTTCCAAAGTTCATAAAGTATAAATCCACTTTATTTGATTAATTTAAATCAATATTATATCATTAGCTTCTATTATAATTACAATAAAATATATTTAGAACTTCTAATTATGTTCATAAGTGACTGCTTTCTCATCTGAAATATACAAATAAAATGTACAATCATTTTACTTTGTGATTACATAATATATGCAATATTAAATGATATATATATTTTTCAAATTAAAGAATAATTTCATGAACTTACATGCAATATAAATATCAATAAAAGATATCCAATATCACTAGGATTTACCTCTACTAATTTACTGATTTTCATATTTATCTGCGTCTATTATGTTATCCTCGCATTGATTCATAGAAAAACTAAAACTCTTAACTTAAAAATATTAACTCTAGTTCAAATTATTATAATTAGGTACACGAGAACGTTAAAAAAGACAGATAACAAATTAAAACCATTTCGTTAAAACGTCTAAAATATGACATGTTTTTAAAACGGTAGCCATTAAAGATGGCAATAGTTGTACTGAATTGTTGCAAACAGCAGCTTTTGAGATCACGCTAAAACATGGCGGAGAAACGCCGTTTTTTCTACACTGCCGAAACATTAATTGGCCGTTGGCTACCGAATAGCGTAAGCGTTAATGTGTGTCTTTTCGTAGCACTGTCATGGCGTTGCTTATTGTATCCCGACTCACGCCTTTAGGGCCTAGGCTACCGACTGTCGACACGAACTGTCATTTCCATACAAATGAAGTTTTCGACTTTCTACATACACTACTGTTAAGGCATCTTGACTAAGGCCCCTGATAACTGACTACTTAGTACTTAATCTGTGCTTTATTTTGGTCTTGCATCAGAAATCACAACTCTAATTTCTATTTTCTTTAAACGACATTATTTAGATAATGTATTGATCCTTTTTTTAACGATATTATGATTAAGGAATTGTTTAAAAAGTAATATCCTGCATCTGGTTCTTTGTGAAATACTTATAAATTTATTACAAACACATTCTATTAAATCTACCAGGCTGGCCAGTTTATAATTTTAAAGTTTTGCTCTTATTTGCAATTAAATCCTTTTAAAGTACATCGACTTTAATGTAAGTATTATTAACTTATATTCTATTAATATTGTTAATGAAAACACAACTACAACAAAATATTAATTATATTATAGGGCCTCAAGAAGTTCTGTAGCAAGATATCATGATAGATCTAGAAGTAAATCCATAAGCCGTAGACATGACGATAGAGTAAACAGTAGAGATAGATCAACTTCCAAATCACGGAAATCTAAATATAGGTCCAAAAGTCGAGAGAAGAAAAGTAAACACAAGAAAAAGAAAAGGGAACGAGGAAGTAGTACTTCAAGTACATCAAGTGATAGTGATAATGATGAACTTAAGTTACTGCAAAGGCTTCAAGCTGAAAGAATGCGAATAAAAGAAGAAAAACGAAAACAAAAAGAACTTATGAAAGCAAATGAAACTCCTGAAGAAAAGAGGTAAGCATTTGAATGGTCACTGTTTCTTGCAATTTAAAATTTGTATACCCTTTTTCTAAAGAACCCTGAGATTTTCCTTTTTTGTTAATTCTTAATGAGGTAGGTGGGAAGTGTTGTAGATGGTGTTTTTAAAACGAATAATAGTAATAAAGATAGCATACATACCTAGAGCAATAGTGAAGTATAACTTGGGCCTTATATTTGAAAAAAAAATAAAATTTAATCATATAAATACCAGCTAAATAACCAGAATATTTTATATTAGATAGAAAATTGTAATATCTCTTTGTATAAGTTCCAACTAATATTTGGGAATATACTCTGTGTTTACCAGGTCAAGACGTTTAAAAGAAAAACAAGAGAAAGAACGCAAGAGAAGGGAGAGAATGGGGTGGGACAACGAATATCAGTGTTATACTAATCAGGACAATCCCTTTGGTGACTCAGCTCTCACCAACACATTTGTCTGGAGTAAGAAACTGGCTAAAGAAGGTGTCAAAACAGTTTCCCGTGAAGAATTAGAAGCTTTTAACAGACAAAAACAATTAGAAAATAAAATAGAATTGGAAAAGGTATTTTGAAACAAACTTATATCTAAAAGTTACCAGAATTCACAATATGTGTGTAATTCACAGATAGTCTGTGTTTAAGCTCTCATCAATTTAAGTAACTAATGTATCTCACAATTATTGCACTTCTCACTTGCACCATTTCTATGATTAAACTATACTATATACAATCTTAATATATATAAATTACGTGTCACATTGTTTGTCCGCTATAGACTCCTAAACTACCGAACCAATATCAATCAAATTTGCACACCGTGTGCAGTTTGATCTAACTTAAAAGATAGGTTAGTTTACATCTCAATTTATACCCGCAATATTATTTTATTGCAAATTATTTGTTAATTATTTGATAGTCATAATTCTAACAGATAGCACTGTGTTGAAAGTATCAACGTTTCACATAAGCTACAATTAAATGGCATAACCACCAATAAAGCATGGTGGTACCCATGACTGGTGTTCTCCTACTGTTTCCCTTGAATAGTTTACTACTATGTAATATAACAAAAACCTTTGCCACAGCTACGCTTGGCCGGTCTGGTAGTATATATACAATTTTCCGAAAACAACAAAAAGATTCATTTTTGTTTATATCCATTTAACATAAAAATAACTATATTGTAGGTGATTATTATTATTGTGCTGGCTGAGCTTGTGTAAAATGTATTTTATAGTTAGTTTCCACATTAGATGTTCACTCACTAATGTTTTTAGCTATTAAACTGTTTTGAATTTGAACTTTGTGCAGGTCAAGCAGCGTCGACTAGAACGCGAAGCCGAACGTGTAGCACGTGAAGCAGAGACAGCTGCGGCCGCTCGTGCGCGTGAGGCTGCCCAATTCGATAGTTGGGCGCGACAGGAAGACGCCTTCCATTTGCAACAGGCTCGTCTACGTTCACAGATACGAATCCGTGACGGACGAGGTACGTTAATTGTATTGACCGGTCAGATACAAAAGGCACTAGATAAAAGCTTGGTTTTAATAATTACTTAAAAGTTATCGTTTTTTCTAATATAAACAGCTTAAATGTGCTCTTTAATAAAAATAAAATGTGCAGTATAAATTTGATTAAGTTTATGTTACTAAATACTAGTAATCAACCTACAAAGGAAATTGAATTTATTTATAGCCTTATATCAGATATACATAATAAACACATAATAGTTATTTTTTTCTTAATCTAGGACACCGATTCTGTGCGCCTACGGACAAATGCCTCCCCCATTGTACTCCATTTTTCCTAGTTGTATACCAATCTCGTCCAGATTTTAGCCATTCCAGCCATTTCAATGTTTTCATTGGCCGACACTTTAAATGGCCTACCTCTTTTTCTTTTTTGGCCTCTTGGTTGCCATAGTGTTATAAATTTGTTCCATCTATCTGCTCCTCTTATGGTATGTCCAGTCCATTTCCATTTTAGTTGTTTTGTTGTATAAGTAACGTCAGCTAACCCTGTTTTATCTCTTAAATTCTTGTATACTTGTCAATTCTTTTGTTCATAATACTTCTATCCATGGCTACACTTAATCTTTTACATTTTACTTTGGTCAGTGACCATGTTTGGCAGCCGTATGTGATAATTGAGGAACAAGAGAGAACTTTTCAACACTGTTGATGTGTTTTGTTTTGTCTTGATTTGCATGAGTTTTACTATTTTTAATAACTTATTTTAGGGACCAATATCTCTTCTATGCATTTCTTATTCTTCTGTCTATTTCCGTTATTTTGAATCGTTGTTGGATATCAGTTAACCTAAATATAGATATTCTGATACATAATGTATTGTGTTCTTATCTATTTTTATTACTTTGGCAGTCCTACCATACACAAAGGAATGCAGGCCTCCTTCAAATTCTTCGACTTGTCTCTCATCATCACAATTATTTTCCAATATTTCCCTGTTTTCTATTTAGTATACTATTCCAGGTCCTCTCCCTTTTTGAAGATATATTTTGAAACAGGGTTGTTGTTACAGCGAAGCCGATTGATCTGTTGGCTTGGTATGTAAGCTCGGAGCAGTGTGTAGACGCCCTAGAGATGCACGAACCCTACACGTACCTCAACGGACTACAGGCTGCAGACCTAGAGGACCTTTTGGAAGACATCAAGGTGTACAAGGAGCTCGAGCAAGCGGAGTCCCTCAGTTATTGGGAGGATGTCGAGACCATCGTGGCAGCTGAGCTGGGCCAACTTCGAAGGCAAGCTGAACCGCGCGCTGCCCGTGATGGCGTACACACCGCCGTCGCAGGAGATGTGCAGCAGGTATGAAGGGCATTTCATACAATTAGTGGATTTGCTGTGTTTTTAGAACTATTGATGTTTTACTTTATTATTATTACCTAGCACCTCTTTTGAGCAAAAAACGTAAACAATCACAAACTAATAACTAAAAAGTTATTATCAAAAAGAAATCGTAAAATTTATTTAAAGAATGGTTGCTTGGCAGATATTTAAGGGAAAATCGGGAGCGCAGCTGGAAGCGCTACAGCAACAAATTGCCCAGAAGCTGTCGGCGCGTTGCACTGGTGTAGATGTTGGGTACTGGGAGACTTTACTTGCCCAACTCAAAGGTAACTGGAGATGCTTAATTTAATTATTGATTTAGGATAACGTTTTTCTTGCCATTTGCGCCTTTACTTACAAATTTAATGTAATTCTTCTTATCAGCTAAATTATATAGGAAAGTTATTTAAACATGAATATACCGCATATTCCCTTTTATTAAATTAACCTTATTTTTTTTTAAATTTAAAACTTAAATTATTGTCTGCTATAATCTGTGTGGAAATAAACCTGTCCTGGGGTTTCTGGTCGCTAAATTAAACTTTTTGTTTTTTTTATGACCTCACATGTTAAAATAAAGACAATCAAACCATTGTAAATTTTGGAATAAATAATATATACACGTGTGTAAATGACATGAGAACTTAAGAAGGTGGAGCGCTAACCAGATCCGTGCTACTTCCTCGCAATCGAGTAGCCCGCGGCAAACAAATCCCTGGATTCTTTGTATACAAAAAATAATGTAAATGCATAAATAGCAATTCGGTAGGAATATAACAAAGCAAAAGTAAATACATAATAGTTTAAGACTGCAAAATTAGTTGCGTAGATATGTGGGGTCACTCTGCATCTTCTACCTCATTTACCATGGAGAGTGTTCAGAGGAGTTGTTCGGATTAATACCTGCAGCTGAGTTTCATCATCGGACGTCGAGGCAGAATACGAAATTCCACCCGTATCACCTCGACGTCCGCCGTTCCACAACTGAGCGTTTTTCAAGGCAGTTTTTGCCACGCACCACCACTTTGTGGAACCAGCTGCCCACTGAAGTATTTCCGAACCAATTCGACTTATGGTCCTTTAAGTAAAGAGCGTACCACGGCAACGCATTTGCGAGCCCTCTGGCATTGAGAGTGTCCATGGGCGGCGGTATCACTTAACATCAGATGAGCTTCTTGCCCGTTGGCCCCCTGTTATATAAAAAAAAACGGAAAACGACTTGGCAAAAGTTCTCCATGTAGTTTTTCATATTATGTTATATTTCTGTTATACATATTACTTCCGAACCTACTATAACAATAACAGTCGTTAATTAAATTAATCCTTATTTTATGAAAAATATATGTAAACTTAAATTTAGCTCACATGGCGCGAGCGCGTCTTCGCGACCGACACCAGCTCAATTTGCGTCGCAAGCTGCACATGCTCAAGACAGAGCAAGGCGTGCGTCCGTCCGACCAGGCCGTTGACACCAAGGAACCTGCGGAAGTGCAACCGCAAGTAAAGCACGAGGAGGAGCCTCGGCAAGAAAAGGCAGAGGCGCCTGATGGTGAGGCGGCTGAGCCTGAAGCAGAAGCAGAAGGTGACGACGCATGGGGCGTGCGCGAGTATCTTCGTGGGCGTTACTCTCCGCCACCATTAGATTCTGCCACGCTGGAGCCAGGCACGATGCTCACGGAGCCTGTTGATGACGCCAACCGACTTGCCTATTTACGCGCTGCGCTCACGACGCCAAAGGTATTATATAAAACCCAATTTATTTTAAAAAAGTCGTTTACAATCGGTAACAGTTTTGAATACCATCGCACTTTTTTGACGATACTAATTATTTAGGAGTCTCGGAGGACCTTCATTGGAACACCTCCAAGTGAGTTTTGCTCCGGAAACGCGTCAAAAATTTTATAAAGATTTATAAAGTAAACTTTGCACTGTAAAACTAATTACCGCTAGTCTAGCATAAACCACATTCAAAATGGCCGATTAAGTTTATAAAATTAATAGGGATGTGAAAAATAATCGATTTTTTTAAAGTGAAAATCGATTTTTGTATTCGATTTTAATATTAAAAATAATTGAAAATTCGGCGACCAAATATTCATATACTAACTCTAACCTAACCAATCTAAATAATATTTGTTTTTGTGGACAGCTCCGATCTAAATAGTAATTGTTTATTCAAGCCTCGGCTTCTCGGCGTCCTGGTCGCCTTCGGCGACCAAATATTCATATACTAACTCTAACCTAACCAATCTAAATAATTTTTTTTTTTTTGTGGACAGCTCCGATCTAAATAGTAATTGTTTATTCAAGCCTCGGCTTCTCGGCGTCCTGGTCGCCTTCGGCGACCAAATATTCATATACTAACTCTAACCTAACCAATCTAAATAATATTTGTTTTTGTGGACAGCTCCGATCTAAATAGTAATTGTTTATTCAAGCCTCGGCTTCTGGGCGTCCTGGTCGCCTTCGGCGACCAAATATTCATATACTAACTCTAACCTAACCAATCTAAATAATATTTGTTTTTGTGGACAGCTCCGATCTAAATAGTAATTGTTTATTCAAGCCTCGGCTTCTGGGCGTCCTGGTCGCCTTCGGCGACCAAATATTCATATACTAACTCTAACCTAACCAATCTAAATAATATTTTTTTTTGTGGACAGCTCCGATCTAAATAGTAATTGTTTATTCAAGCCTCGGCTTCTCGGCGTCCTGGTCGCCTTCGGCGACCAAATATTCATATACTAACTCTAACCTAACCAATCTAAATAATATTTGTTTTTGTGGACAGCTCCGGCCTCAGCCGCTACAGCTTTCATAATGCCTGTGCTTTGTTACAGCGGGTGGGGGCTGCTCTTCCTCCGCGCCTCCGATTATTTATATACACTCTAGGGGTAAGACAGACAAGACCACGTGGATAGTGGGGTGCTCTGATTCGGTTTTGGGTACTTTTTGGATATTAAAGTAAACACTTTATTCTAGTAAAAATTAAATAATATAGAAAGTTGCAAACAATGAAATACAAGTACTTATTAGAAAATACAGACGAGTAGGTATCGATAATTTCAAAAAATTTCGGAACCCTATAATCTATCAACACGAAATTAGGTTAATTTCAATGTTGATTATTCTATAACTTTAAATTTCAAAAATGAGGAAATAATCGATAAATAAATAAAACGATTATTAACAATCGATAAATTAAAACCACGATTTTTTTAAGTGAACGTCACATCACTTATAACCAATAGAAAAGTAGAAAATGGCGGATTGTTTACAAATTTTAATACATTACACAAAACTTTAAATTTTTTATAAAAATATTTAGACGCGTTTCCGGAGCAAAACTCACTTGGAGGTGTTCCAATGAAGGTCCCCCGGACACTCCTAGATAATTAGTATCGTCAAAAAAGTGCGGTGGTATTTAACACCCAACCCTTACAATCTACCGAATAATAATATGTTAAATTGTTAGCAGTGCGTTGAGGTTCACAATCTTTCGACAGTTCATAATCTCGCGAGATAGATTACAATCTAACGGTGTTTACAATTTTACGGTGACATATACACGATATGCACCCAATATTTTCTTTAAAAATTGTCAAGTTAAATAATATTTTATAATATATATGAAAAAGTAATATAACATGTAGTTTATAGTATTTATGTAGCTAATTTTGCGTATGAATCCATAACTCTACTTGTTGTTTCTTATTTCTAAGCTGTTAATTGTCAAAAATATTGACTATACTCAGTAAAATGGTCGTTTTTCAGGCGGTAGTTGCGGAAAGTAGTGCAACTGGTCCTGGTGCACTAGAAGCTGCGGCTCGACGTGCAATGGACGCGGCAGCTGGTGAAGACGCGGCGAGTGCTGGAGCGCAGTTCAGCGTGGAACAAGTACTGCCCGACCAGCCCTATCTATGGGCGGATAAGTACCGTCCCCGTAAACCCCGCTACTTCAACAGGTGAGTCAAAATAAAACATCTTTTCTGTGTGATAACGTTTGTGCACGAAACTCTTTTTGTAACTTATAGCAAGAATTAAACATTCCCTTTAGGGTGTATATTTTAATGTGTTGTATTTCAGAGTGCACACGGGCTTCGAGTGGAACAAGTACAACCAGACTCACTATGACATGGACAACCCGCCTCCCAAGATTGTGCAGGGCTACAAGTTTAACATTTTCTATCCTGACCTCATTGATAACAACTCTACACCCCAGTTCTCGTTGGTAAGATAAATTAATCTGTATGTATTTTATTATTGGCTTAAAAACTAATAACAATGCTTAAATTACCAAGCATTTCATAGTATTACAAACATAAACTACTGGATTTTCATGCATTTTAAATAGGAAGTTTGAGCTTGGCGAAACATAGCTTAATGTTTTAACAAAATTAGATGTCAGGAAAATCATTTAAATTGTAATAAAATTATCATTGATCGACGCTATCTATAGAACAGGTTTTATATTGGGAATAATTGCAATGCTAGTAAGTTAAATTTGTAGGTGATACAATTAAGTGTGAATGCTTAATATAGACGTATTTAATCAAAAGCACTATTTATTTAAAATGTTACATTATTATTTTGGGTACATTTAAACTCTCTCTTCAAACATAAAAAGTCTTAACCTCTAATAGCTACTAGTGTGAACTAAATGACTAATTCATCTCATCCATCTGTTACCAGACATACAGGCCTACTATAAAATGTTAATATTAATTTTAAATCTTAAAACTTCTTTATATTTATTAGAAATTATCTTTAATAGAAACCATGTGCGGATAACCCAGAATTCGCTGTGCTACGATTCCATGCAGGCCCCCCCATACGAGGACATTGCCTTCAAGATTGTAAATAGAGAATGGGAGTACTCCTACAAGAGAGGCTTCCGTTGCCATTTTCACAACAATATTTTTCAGCTTTGGTTCCACTTCAAGCGATATAGATACAGACGATAGATAATAAACATTTAAGTTAATTTTTGTTTTATTGTGAGCCCTTGAATATATAAAATAGCATTGATAACGGACCAGATAGATATGTCTTAAAGGTCCAAGTGTAGATATTTTTACCAGGGATAATGGGGATGATAAAATATATTAGAAAAACCTAGGATCCAAACAGCTAATCAACAATGAAATGTGCTTACAAAAGAGCAGCTTAGTATAGAATAAAAATTCAATGCACTTTTCTCAACTCAATTTAATTACCTATGCACATAACTTTTCTTGTAAATAGGCTATTACAAGTTACTATGATGTTGAATAAATACAGTTCTAATTATATTAAAGAATTTGAAAGAAAATAATGAACCATAAGTTTATTCTTTCTTAGGTTCTGCTGTGGAGGCAACTTCTTCAATAGGATTTCCTCTAAAGTTTGGAAACTGTTCCCAAGGAGCACTTAGCTCAAATCTTCGGAATTCCTGAGCCAATTCTAAGGGTTCCACAACAACACGTTTCTGTTCATCATCATAACGCAGTTCTACATAACCACTTAGGGGGAAATCTTTTCTGAATGGATGGCCTTCAAATCCATAATCAGTTAGAATTCTTCTTAAATCTGGATGATTCGCAAAGAAAACTCCATACATATCCCAGATTTCCCTTTCATACCAGTTTGCAGCTTTGAACACTTCACAAGCAGAATCTATAGGTGTCAGTTCATCCGTGTAAGTCTTTACCCGAATCCTAGCATTGTAACGCAGAGACAATAAATTGTAGATAATCTCAAATCGATTAACCCGACTGGGCACGTCCATCCCCGCTATGTCTACCAAGCTCGCAAACTGTGCACTGTGGTGGTCTTTTAAAAATTGAAGAACGGGAATGACTCCATCTGGAGGAATAAGTACTTCCAACTCATTACCGGATGTGATTTGAACTTTTTGTACGTACTTTGGTAAACAATCAGACACGTATTTCCCAAAATCGATCAGTTGAGACTTTTGAAGTGGATCTAATTTTGCAACAGTGGGACGAGATTCAATTTGCGGTGTTTGGTCAGATTTAAAGGCAATGCGTTGGGTCACTGGATAGTGTTGGTTACTAAGTATCGTCCGCCCAAGATTACGAGTAAAATCAATCGTTCGTTTGAATATAAGAGACATTTCGATGGCTTTCTTATTATTACGTAATTGCTCGTTTTCAAATTTCAATCACTTTCAACTACAACTGTGTGTACTGTCTATAAAGAAAAATGTTATTGGTCTAACATACTCAAGTCTCAAAGTACATTAGTGCCATTTTTAACCATTCGAAATGTTAGTTGACACTTGACATTAAGTGACATTTGTCATTGTCAAGCCACAAATGTCTTTTCAATTAAAAGTAACATATTCAAAAATTAAAACTCAAAGCCTGAAATCGAGAGACTTTTTATACTTGACTTTAAAAATTAAGATTTAGCTAAAACAGCGTTGTAGCTTCCTATTTCCAATAATATTCAGTACCACAAATACTTAAAATACAATGCACTGTTGACCCTTCCTCCATACCTCCCCATTACCACTGCCAACAATAACAACAACTGAAAATGGAAGAGGAACTAGATAAACTAAAAACAGTTCTTCGTTCCCTTGTCGTATCCTCACCCGTACAAGTAGATGTACGGGCTTTATTACGTGATTATAAGGAAATGATTGGTACTCCACTGCCTATACATAAATTTGGACATCGCGATCCCATGGAATTTTTAAAAGAGCGATGTAGTGACTCTTTCTTAGTAAGTTTACCAATTTGTACCTACCTACATTTTCGTGTTGAGAATAATAATAGAAAGGGTCAATCAATATCAAACTATGTATATTGTAGTTATATATTGGTTTCAAAGAAATATTTTTTTAATGAAATGGATTTATTACAGTTCCAGGGAACAACAAATAATCCAATTTTAACACTAATAGTGCCAGAGTCAATAAAGCATATTGATAGATTGGTACAGAAACAAAAGTCTCATAATACTAAGTAGTAAGTACCGTTACTGTATTACTTGTTCATCGTTCATATTGTTATTATTGACTTGTTCAGTAAATTAATAAATTGAAGAAGGATAGACTAAACTATAAAATATTTTATTGTTTCAGTAAAGGGAAACGAAGAAGTGTTATGAAATCAACAGTCACATCATTAAATAGTGAGTCTAACCTTATTGTTAAGACTTTTCCAAAAAAATATGTTGGAAGTGATACATCAACTCCAAAAATTGGGGTCAGCAATCAAAATGTTAATAATACAAAAGAGAACCCGGGACAGAGCATGCATAATGGAGTGGTAAGTAATACTTAAATTAAAGTGTTGTTCATTTAAAATGTTCTCATATATGGATGGTGTTGTTTTTTTAAAAATAGTATCTTTTGCTTTTTGTTTAATAAAAATAAAAAACTTGGTTCAGGCCCCTTTTATTCAGCTGAATTGCCTGTTAAATTTTATATTTTACCAGTTACAAAAAATCTGTATTTTCATTTGGAAGTTTTTGTCATTTTAAATGAGAGCAATAGCAAACTGTCAACTCTTTAATGTTCTGCAACTTGCTGTTGAAAAAAATTATAAACAATATTTATTGAGTAAATGTAGCTGAATTACTGTACCCTTTTTTATATATTCATTTCTTATATGCACTTTATGTTTGACTATATTATTAGATCTATGTTACGTAAATCTGGTCACAATAAGCATAAATATGATAACAGTAATAAGTTCACTAATATGACAGGACTGATATTATTGTTACACTGATACTATAAATATTAATATTGATTATTCTGACTTTTATGCCACTTGAGCATATATTATTTTTTAATTTTACATAGATAATTTTTAAAAGGTATTAAAGCAAATCTCATCTTCCTTCATAATATAAACAATGTTTTTATCATATTACCAATTTTTAAAGGTTGACATAACTCTAAAACAAAGGGAACAACAACATGTAGAACATGAAAGACCTGTTAGCAACAGTATTAGATACACAAGGGGCCATCACAGTGGATACAATCAGCATGATTCTGTGTCCACCTGCTCAGAACATGATTCAGCAAGAGACACTCTTTCAAGTGCGTACTTTGCATGCAACTTTTTAAATGCAGTTGTTACTCAGTCCTGCCATTAGTTGTGTGACCGCAAAAACTTTGTTATTAAGAAAAATTAATATGTACACAAATGTTTTAATATTAGAATTTACATTGTTTAAACTGTATGTATAGATTTTTAATAAATTTTCAAATGTTTGATTTATCTAGTAAACAATTGTTGGCTGTACTTTTGCACATTTTTTACAGTCGTATGTAGTGTAGTTGTGTGCTTCAGGTAGTAGCAGTAGCAAGCAAATGCAGCTGGAAAAATTGTTGGATGAAGTTGCCACCATTGTTTTGCAGAATCCAGACGGTCTCTGGGCTACTGACATATTGAAGTGTTACAGGTAACTGTATCATTCTTGTCAATATAAGATAAAATTGGGTTCTTTTAGTACACTTATTTTAAGTTAAGTAGTCACTGTCTATGTACTTTTTTCACATACATGCGGCTACTAAAACTTATTTATATATTATAGATTTGTATATATCTGATTTAGTTAAATAAATAGCCCATTCTAACATTAAACTACAGGTCAAACTGATAACTTTTTTTTAAGTCTGTTTATAAAAGTGATGTGTTTCCACAGACAGAGTTACGGCTGCGAGTTGAACTTAATACGATTTGGGTACACGAGCATCGTGAGTCTGCTGCAGCAAGTACCAGGCGTGTCATCTGCGCAAGTGCTCGGTGGCGATTGGCGCGTGTGGGCTGGTGACGTCCCGCCTCGCCTTCCGCCCGCGTCGCCTCCTCCGGTGCTGCGCCCACGCACACCCACCCCCGACCCCGACGATGCGCTGCCCGGTGTCCAGTTTGTGAGTACAATATTCCTATTCCAAGACCAATGCTTCAAGGGTCCCTTTATATTCAAAAGTTCTTTAATAAAATGTGATACAAAGGACTTTTCTTTACGATAAATTAACATATTTTATTAACTCGTTAGTAATTTTTTTTAACAAGTAAAGAACAAATACCTGTGATTATATCAAATTCTTAAAATGCAAGAATAAATTACTAATTACAATTGTTGTTGTAATAAACATTGAAATTCACATTAGCTTTTCACCACACTTTAAAAACAGTTGACACATTGGCCAATGGAGTGGAAGAGACATAAATACGTCACAAGTCAAACGCTCTCGCTTGCACGCTCGGCTTAGGCGGAACGTGACAATGAGTCATGTTTATTCGTGCGTGCAGCCGGCGTTCATCCATCACGTCAATAAAAATATAGATTAATTTTTTTTCATAAAAATACAAGCACATATGACACAAGACATTAACAGTAGGTAATAAAAATAAAGCAGTTATATTTAGCCAATGGGTAAAAGCGTTCAATTTTATTTTTTTTTCTATCTCCACGTTTGGCCCGCCGTCATCGCAATTTCCTCTGTCAATTTGGCACAAGGCCCCACATCTTGTTTCTCGTGATCGCGGCCATTTCACTAGTGTAAAGAAATAAAGTAAAATTAAATTAAATATATATCTTTTTCTATTGAAGTATTTTTTAAATAAGTATTTTCTAAGCATATTTTAAATAAAATACAATGTTTGTGTCTACTGTTAAAGTTAAGCTCGGATCGTAGAATAAGGTTCTTCGTTATTATTTTTTGTTTGAAGTTATACTTCTTTTGGCGCGTTACAGAAAAATTATGAAAGTAATTTTTTTGATGCGCGCGCACACCGTCACAAAAAACCGACACCCTGAAGTTAGCTATAGTCAACATTATAGTTTTTTGAAGTTATACTTCTTTTGGCGCGTTAGGGAAAAATTATGTGAGTAAATTTTTTCTATTGTTAGTGTAGTTTTTTCTACAAACGTAGAATAAGGCAAAAGATAAAATTTTAGAATAGATTTTTATCTTGTTACGCTATAACTTCTAACGCGTACACACCAATTTTTTTATATTTGTGGCGTACTCTAAATTTATGTTTTTACATTATCGTAGTATTGTATTTCTTTATATTTTAGTTTTGTTACTCAATCTTTTATAAAAAAAATCATGTCTGTGAAACATTTCAAGGAAACTTCTGTAATTATAAATTGTGTATTTTTTTTTATATATCTTGTATTTGTGTAATGTTTTCTTATTTAAAAAAAAACTTTAAAAGCATACACAGGATATTATATTCTAAATAAATACGAAACAATGTTGATTAATTTCAAGGACCCAGACGTGTTCCCGTCGGACTGTCTGCATTACACGGAGAGCATCCCAAGCGCGGAACAAGACGGAGTGCGACCCGGGGACATGTTAGACGTGCTGATCGGGGAAGTGTATTCGCCATCGCACTTCTGGCTTCTGCGCCTCGGCGAGCAAAACAGTGCCATGGAAGACATCATGGATGAGATGAAGTGAGTTTCTTTCTAGGGGTAGGGCCTTTCTAGTAGGGCAAGATAGTGCGGCGTGTGACTGACAGCAGTGTGTTACAGCCGGTACTACGATGGCGGTGCGGAGGGTGAGCGACGACTGGCAACAGGCGCCGTGCGAAGGGGCCACTATTGCTCTAGTCGCTACGAGGGCGACTGGCATCGATCCCTTATTGTCAAAGTGATAGACTGTGACACAGTTAAGGTGAGAGAGGAGCATCTCTAATTGTTGTGCATCATGTAATATTTCTATCTTTAGTATAATTGTTTTTGGTTTTATATGATTTATGTCAGCTGTAGGATTACATATATTTATACACATGGTATAAAGAAAATCATAACATTATTTTGATAAATGTACTGTAATGTAATTAAACGCACAAAACATAACATCGCGCATGCAGAAAAAAACAATTATATAAAGCTACAGCCAAGGTACCATATACGGAAAAAGAAAACGAAGCTGTGATTATATATGATTCCAACTATAATTAAATCCTTACCAGAATTACTACATGAAAAACTGAGTGACAGAAATATGACCAATGAGAAATATAAACATACTAGTTTAAAAAGTACTACATTGGTATTTGTATTCATTCCTCTTTTCTTAATTTGATTCCTCTTTTATTTTACATTTACTTATACAAACATTAAGTCAACGTTAAAGACTTCTGTACCTCGACACTTGCCACGGGCGTCAATGACAGGTTCCAACTGCCACACTTTATACCTATCACTGGACTGAATGGAAAACCAATGGAGAAATTGTGACCAATTTATGTTCCACCATCTCATAAATTTGTATTTTTTTTTTCTTTAAATAAATAAAAAAAAAGTAAATTCGTTTCATAGCAATATATGTATACTGAATCATGCGAGTTACGCCCCGAAAGTATAGCGATACGTAGGCACTCTCTTCAACTGGTACATTGCATTAATTCGTTACATAGCAATTAATATTTCATTATTTCGCTTATATTCTATTGATGTACGCGTGTGGTTAATATAGAGTAAATATAAAATCCTCTATTATTTATAGCACCCCGATGACCCAGGAACGTACATGGTCAATAAATCAACGCTCTATATATAAAACTTTGTATGTAAAAACAGTTGGCTCGGGTAAAAACACTCGGTTTTTAATGATATGCAACTTGTAATATAAAACAGCGATCGTTGTCAATACTGATTTCGCGTGCTTAGTAAAACTCACCACTAAGCCTTTATACTCATTGGCCTGTGCAGGTCCGCCACGTGGACTATGGGACGGTGGAGCGTGTAGAGTCGCAAGCCTTGCGGCCGATGCGCCGCGAGTGGGGGAAGCTGCCGGCGCAGGCCGTCCGCGCACGCCTGTCCCGTGTGCAGCCACCCAACGGTGCCCGCCGCTGGCCACATGGCGCCGCCACTGCTTTTCTATCACTCGTCGCACAGAAGCCGCTCGTAGCTGCGGTCGCTGCCGTCGACTCCGAGGTAATTTCCAGCTTTCGTGATCTTCTTTTAACCTTTGATTTTTGTTTGGCCGCAATTAACTTTTTTTTTGTTTTTAGAACAATGTTCTGGAAGTGGTCCTCGTGGATACTTTGACGGATGTAGACGTGTACATATCGGACGAATTAGTGCGCGCCGGACATGCCGATCCGCGTTTCACTGTTCCTGTCGTAAGACATTACCTTTTTTATCGATATTGAGCGATTCTACGACCCTTCCGTTTCGCATGGATTTGTATCTGTTAATAAAATATTCCTCTGAACATCTGTATGTGTAGTGTTTTAATGCCTCAATATAAATAAATAATATGTGGTACATTAAATTTGTTTGTTTTGAATATTTAATTGTGTAGAAACCCTAAATTAGGATTTGAGTGACGAATACTTAATTCATTTTCAGTTCTCGGAGCCGTACTTGTCACCCTCTTTCGACGCCCTAGAGAATGGCGACACACTCAACTACGCTGAGATCAGCGCCTACTTGCGCGACGGCGTCGTGCTCGATTTCCTCGACGAATATCGCCGCCACGTTCCCTCCGCCCTGCCCTCTCCTCCCCCCTCGTCTCCTCCCCCCTCGTCTCCTCCTGCGCAACCCACGCACACCCTCGCTGTGGCTCTAGAGAGCATGAATATGACAGAGACAGTTCCGCAAGAGCAGGATGTGCCGGTAGGGGAGATAGAATTATGGAACAGAGCGGGAGAGCATTGGCGGGAGGAAACACAAGCGAACTGGGACCCGTCCCGACCCGTCCCTGGGACGGACTGGCAGAATAGCGTAGACGCACATTTGCAAGCACATTTGTATTGTTCACAACTAGACAAAGATGTCGTGAGTATACCAGTACGTGTATGCCAAACGTTCAAACAGCTGCACGGAATAAACCCGCTAATGGCACTGCATTACATAACAAAAGCGATTGACCTCGCCTCGGCTCCCGTTAATGTGGCCCCTCCACCTGGTTTCGGCCCTCACCGCTTTTGTCCCTCGCCGCCGGGACTCTAGCATTTATATTTCTATTTCAAAATCGTTTATTTCATGAAGAAGGAATCTGACGGTTGTTAAAGTATTTGAATGGAGACGTTACTTGTTTTTATTTTTATATAACGTTAAATTAAGACTTAAATATTTTTGTTACATAAGTACATTTTAAGTCTCTTTGTGATAACATAATAAGAATTAATACTTTTTATACAATATAAAATAGACCTTTTTTTACTGTGAATTTCAAAATTACTATCTATATTAAACTGTTAGTTTCGATATGATTAGTACCAATACTACCGCCATATATTATTAAAGACAGTAATGTGACTAAAGTGAGATAAAATAAATAAACAAGCATTTATACATAAGTGTCGTTATTCAGTTCCTTAAATTAACATAAGATTAAGATATTCTAGGCAAATAAATTGCATCAATTATTGCCAAAATTATTTTGTAGAGACCCGAAATTGAAGAACATGGTAATCGTTCTATGGAAGATCGGAGATCCACAGCGATGCAGATCAAAGCCGTGATGTCACACGACAATTACATCAATGAAATATGTTCCGAAATCGAACAGCACTAGCCGCGTACTGACTGAGCGAGCAGCCTCGCGAGGCAAATCCTCGGTCGGTCAAGACGTGCCTCGCCCGAGGCAAACGCACGCGCTGCCTCGCCCGAGCGTGCCGCGGCCCGAGCCGAACGTTGTCGGTTTTTGTCGATGTTCAAAGGCGCCTCAGTACGTTTGCCGCGCTCACTCAAGACGGTAGTGTTTTGCCTCGCTTATTCGTTGCGTGTTAGTTGTGCGTCATGGATAAAGAACAGTGTCTTAAATTAATTAATTAATTAATCGATTGTCTTAAATTTAAGGACCTAAACAAAAGTCAACTAGACCTAAAAAGAGATCCAAAATGAACGAAAGTGATGATCTTACTGATAACGCCATATCTGAAGCATTAACACTCTTACAACAGTGTGCAAGCGATAATATATCAGAAAAAAATGATCCCTATAATGTGTATGGCCAATATATAGGAAATGAGTTGAGAAAGTATGATAAAATTACATTAGCATACGTAAAAAATGCAATAAATAAAATTATCTTTGATGCAGACATGGGAGCATACAGTGGTTATAGTTATTATACTCAATCATATGGTGAACACGATAATTTAAGATATATGTCTCATCCCTCTTCCTCATCGACGCCATCTACATATTCGATGCCTGCTGCCTCACCAATGCCTTCTACCTCACCGATGCCTCCTACTTCACCGATGCCTCCTACTTCACCGATGCCTCCTGCCTCATCGATGCCTTCTACTTCACCGATGCCTGCTGCCTCACCAATGCCTCCTATCTCACCAATTTCGATGCCTCCCCCTCCTCCTTCTCCAGCTCCTCATCATTAAATATTTGTTTGTTTAATTTTCTTATATTATTTGTCCAATTTTCTAATCAGATTAATAAAAAAATAATAAAAATATGTAATTTTATTTTACCTTAACATAATCCTTTAACACCTCAATTATAGCATCACAGACTTCAGGAACTATAACCGATATCCTTTGTTTTGATATACGAAATAGATACTGTAGACTGGTATAAGAATCTCCTGTGGCCAAAAATCTCAACGTCACTAATAATCTTTCCCTAGCGGATATTGCTTCTCGAAAATTTGTGTCCTTCTTGCTTATTTTGGCGTTTATGAGAGAATACACATTGTCAAATTCGATTTTACTCATTCGAGTGAAATTTTTTTCTTCGTCATCGAAGCACAACTCTTCAAATAATCTGTTCCCAGCCTGTAATCTATTTTTGTATAAGAGTTTAATCCAAAAACGTTTAGTTTTCTGTTTTCTTTTTTGCAAGCCTTAGAATTATTAAAAAGGCAGTGGTAGCGACAGCTTTCCGAATGTGCGGCCTCATGGTGGTCTCGGGCAAACTATACGGGCACGCGCGGTCTCTATTCGACTTCAAGTTAAACTGAGCGTCGATGCTCACGATGGCTCGGACTTGCCGCGCGAGGCAGCCTCGGATTAGAAAACTTACAGACCGAGGCTGCCTCGCGCGGCAAACGTTGCGAAGCAAACGTCCGAGGCTGCTTCGCGAGGCTGCTCGCTCAGTCAGTACGCGGCTATTCACAAAAAAAAAGGGTGCGTGTACTTCGCGCGTAAGAAGTTATACTTCTTTGGCTTTCTTCATTTTTTTTAAATATTAATAATTAATATTTAACGTAAACAATTTAATAATATTTAATATTTAGTATATTATTCAATTATTAATTAATATTAATAACAATTAATATTAATAAAAAATGTCATTATGGTCATTCAAAATTCTTGGCATAGCTGCTAACTTCACGCATATTCTATTTCTTTTTACTTGTAGATTGTCTTATTCCCATCTCGCTCGCGCACTCTATAATCACACTGACAACTTTGTGTCTCAGGTGCGCGCGCATTGTAAAATTTCACTCTCATCAATTTTTCATAACGCGCCTAAAGAAGTATAACTTCAAAAACTAATCCCGATATCTTTTTTTAAAATGTGAAAGAATTAACATGACCACGAAACACGAAAATTCCTTTATTTAAAAATACTATGCTACTTAGGAAGAATGTTTATTTTTTGTCCATTCTCTTGATTGGAATCAAAAAATAAGGGATGTTTTTTTCACATTTGAGTCGGTTCGATTCCCAGATGAAACAATTATTTTCTTAAAAATCATTGAATGCAGTAATAATTACTTTAAAAATAAAATAAAGACTTCTTTCAGCAAATATCCTATCTATGATATTTATTTCCTTTGATGTCCCATAGTCTTGGGACGCCCTGTATATCGTCCAGCAATACTATTTATAAGATAGTACCTGATTTATTGTTCCCAAAGAAGGTAAGAAACAATTGACCAATTTTACGAAACCATGAAAAATACTATAGATAAACACCCACATAGAAACAATCATAATTGGAGACAAGATGGCAAGAAGAAGAGGGTGACATGGGATGACATACATAAAGAAACCGACGAAGTAATAAGGACTACGAGTAGAAGCTGGTAAACATGGCACATGAAAACAGCTATTTTGAATGCCATGTACATAAAGCGAAATTCTATAAAGTGGACATGAGAATCTTCAGAAGGAAGATATAAAAATGAAATTGATTTAATCCTCGCAATCAACCAAAACAATTCACCAATTTAGGTGTTCTCAATAAATTCAACTTTAAAACGAATCTCCGGTTGTACTTGTTCTTAAACTACAATTGAACCACCTGAAAAGATCAATATCGAAGTTGTCTAAGAATGTAAACTTTTCAATAAAATCGAAATCATTCGACTCCTGCATGACTTCCTGTCATAAAAAGTCAAATCAAGTGGGCGCCAACAACATTCAAGAGCAACAAACTTAAAACATGCCAACACGTAATGGAGAGGAGCATAGTCGGAAGAAAATCTAACAGATGGAGAAACAAGGATCTTAGAAACTATATACAACATTAAGGCGCTGAATTGGAAGTGGACTGGACAAGTTATAAGAGGTAGTAAGGAGAAATAGTCAAATAATCTTATACAATGGTATCTACGTTACGGAAAGCAGGGTAGGGGACGACCAAATAAGCGATGAGATAACATATTCACAAACTTGATGGGAAATTTATGGGAGCGCTTCGCGGGCAATTAAAGTGAATGGAGAAGAGTGGGGCAGACCTTTGCCACTTGGCAAGCGGATGAGGACTGAGAAGCTAGTGCTAGATATATCATTAGAAAAATTATTAGTATTGTAAATATTCAACGATTAAAGGAATAAAATGCTTTATTGAAGTGAAACTTCTTTAGGCGCGTGAGGGTAAAAAAATTTTTTTTTACATAACAAAAATATTTTGGTTATGTACGAGCCAAGGCTGTACATTTTGCTCACTCAGGCTTTCTTAGTTTTATAAGCTTCACTTATAAGCGTGACGTGATTTCCTAAATCGTCGGAGTCACGCCCCGAGAGTACGGCGTACGCCCCAGACGCCCCAGACGCAGGCACTCTCTTCGACTGTTACTTTGCAGTCATTCTTTACATAGCAATTAACATTTCATTATTTCGCTCATATTCTATCTATTGTTATACGCGAGTGGTTAATATAGAGTAAAACAAAAATCTTCTCTTATTTATAGCACCTCGACGACCCAGGAACCGTACAGTGTACACTGTACTGGTTAAGGTTATATGATAATATATCCTTTTGATACGAAATTAGATTTATGTAAATTGTCATTATGAAATAACCTAACTTTTTGACATTTATGTTTTACTGCGAGAATTGTTGTGTTGTAGGCTGACGCAAGATTTATTCTAAATATGTAATCAATTTGGTATATCCAAAAGATTCATTGATTTGAGTCCTGACATTCACTTACTACCCTACTACATCTGTGGTTACAGATCCTTAGATGTTTCTAGGATAAATTGAGTATTGACTAGTCTACAATATTTATTGTCAAAAAAAATCTGTCAAATCTGAAGATGTTATCAAACATGGCGTGCTATCAATGCGTAATTTTATTCTGTTTACAATGAAATTTTCTTAAATTTATTTTTCAATTAGATGATGTGACTAGTGAAAACGCTGAGTGTTGGATGTCGCCAGTGTGTAATCAAGGAGTAGGGCGCGCGAGCCCATGTGAGTGCGGGGCGCAGGTCGTGCCGCGGGCGGCCGGGTGAGGCCGAGGGCTATGCAAGCGGCGCCGACGCGCTACGTGTCTGCGAGCGAGTTATACTCGACCGACGAGGTGGAGCTGTTGCTGGAAGAAATCCGCGAGCTGGAGCCGACTAGCTGCCGCGGTGAGGAAGGGCAAGACTTGGAGATAGCGGGCAGCTTCGGCGGCGGCCGCTCGCCTGCTGGTACCGAACTCACAGAGCGCTCGTGGGATTCCCACGCGCACTACTCGCGTGCGCCGCCGCCACGACCCCAGCCGCTTGCTCCGGTCTACTGCCGCCCGCGATACTTTTGTTCTTCCTTTGGGGCTCTCACTCTACTTCTTGTTGTAAGTGTCTTTCAAGTCTATAGGTAATCAAAATTTCATTTGTTAAATTAAACTAAATTTAGGTAAAATATTGCATTGATTTTTCTATTATTGCAATACATTTTAGTTTTAGTCTAGAATTTAATATATATTCTGTTTATCATGAAAGGTTATCTTCATGTTTTTTATAATATAAGACAGCTGCACTGTATTTTACGTATGTACTATGTAGTATAAAAAATGTAAATGTGGTCTTTGTGTCTTAGTTAATTCCATAAGACTGTTCTGTGTATTACTTGTTTGATGCTGCAATTTTAGAACTTACTATCAAATAAGCTTCTTTATAGCATATTAAGTGGTAAGGGTTGTCTTTACAGGTGTGTAGTGGAACAGTGTGTATATTGGTGTGGGCAGCACTGGGGCTGAGGGGTGCAGAGGCAACACGGCCTCTGATGTTTGGTGCGCTCACTACATTCTTGGCACACACCCTGCTGCTTGTCCTGCACTTAACGGCGCTTACAGCTCTATTTCCATTGGATTTCACAAAATGGGTAATTTATGTAGTATTTTAACATGATGATTTTCAATTTATTGTTTATATATTATTAAATCAGAAGTAATGTATTTATGGTAATGTGTGTGTAAAATCTCAGAGTGGATGGCTGGGGGCATGGAGTGCTTGCTGGCTAACGGTCGGCGCCGGCTTAGCGTTGCGTCCTCTTACCGATGTGCGCTTCCTGTACTCTCCTGCACTCATTTACTCTGCAGTGGTGAGTTTAATTTTTTAAATAAACCTCCTATACATTCTTAATAATTATATTGACTATCACCAAGAAACTTACTACATTAGTAATTTGACAGTACTTGAGGTCTGTGATGTGATGAAGTATTCCCTTTACAGGGCGTGGGCTGGGCCGGCGCGTGCGCGGGTGCTGCGCTGGCGTGGTTGGCGTTGCGCGCGGGGTGCGTGCGCGCAGGGGGAACGGGAAGGGGAGGCTCTCGACGCTCCTCGGGCCCAGCCGCGTACCGCGCCGTACCGCAAGCCTCCAGCTCGCGAGACGACCCGTTATAGTGACGCGCCACGCTCACCGACTTCTAGAGCCGGTGGAAGGCAGCGCCTCGGCTCCTCGCCGCCTTGGCACGAATTGACGTATCGTCGGAACCGTCTGAACGCTACGAAACTTTTATATGTTTTATAGACGTTAGAGTTTTATAGTCGAGGAAGTGGCTCCAAATGAAAACGTTATCCCTCCTCGTCCGGTCCGTGTTGGGTTCGACTGCAGCGAGGTTTATGGGTGTGGGACGTGTTCTTAAACTGCCATTAGATGTCGCGATCTCACTTTTTTATAAACTCTTTTGATCTCTATTCTCAACCACAGATGAACTATTATTGTTTTTATGATATTCTCTATCTGGGAACAAAAATCACAATCCACCTACTTCAACCTATTATATGATAATTCCCCGATAGGAATAATTATTTTAGTGTTTACTAATTTCATTCACAAGTCTGATTTTATTCTAGTCAGTACTTAATTAAGTATTTCTGTATAATAGTAAGTTGCACAAATTAGTTAGTTGCCTGTTTGTATTCTCATTGCTTTAGATTCTATTATGTTACTATGAATTCTGCATTCCCCATAGCATTCAAGGAAAATACTGCCGTATTATGTTGTGCCAGTAGCATATCATCTCAGAACTTATTATTTGTAATACTTGTTATAAAAGCAGTATTAATTGTATCAGACTAGCATTTACACAAAGGTTTATTTTAGTTTAAGCAATATTTGTATTGTTTGCGGTAAATTGAGTAGTGTTAGATTTAATCAGTTAAAATGTGAAAGATATCTTGCTATATTGTGTGAAAGTTCAGACTGGCCTTAATATTTTTTATAAAAACATGCATGAAAATCCATGTGGTCTATTAAAAGTATTTGAAATTAAAAAATGCTTAATGTGATGTTTTCCATAATAATGAATTTTGACTATAGCAAGATATCAAATTTAGGTGATTGACGTACATTCCGTAGAATAAGCGAGCCCGATATATACAGTAAGTGTAATTGTTATATATTTATACCGTGTGTCGTACTCGCGTCATGAGCTTACATTAGCACTATTCGTCGACCTTAGGCCGGCGACTCCTTTATCCGTGCTCCAGTCGGCTCGGAAGTGTAGAGGGGCAAAGTCTATAGTGAAACAGGTTTGAATTGAGTACTAAATGTAATCATTGATGTAACTCCAGTGAGAGCATTATTTTTATATAGTAGTGTACATATCACCACTTTTGTAACTTCCTACACGAAGTCGGTTTGTCGTACGAGTCTAGTCACGTTCGCGTTAGGGTAATTTATTAAACACTTGTTACCGTACACCGCTCGCCGACCGGCGGCTTAGCGCACAACCTCCCCGTTGTCATGAACCAAACGCGTGGTGGGCGGCCGCGAGTGTCGTTTTCTTTTAACTTTGAATTGTAATTCTATTAATATATTATATGGTTTTTATACTACTCGCATTTTTACTTTGAGATCAGCGCCTGACTATATGATAGTATAAGAAAATAATAAAGAAATTAGTAATGGTATGCGCTAATGCTAGTATCGTCTGTAGGTGACATTGCTGATCTTAGCCATCCTCAGCCTCACAGTCTTCCATCCACTTTTTGCCTGGGGTGTGTCACTTTGTCTATTTTATAGTTTTTTCAATGGAATAATAACTTTTGTAGTAGACTTTATAACAAAGATTATTTCGCTGTTTCTCAATCACATTCATTTTATTGCTTTCGAAGTGCATTGACCGACCTCGCGATTTGTCTTACCATCAACTATGACTTCCTATTTCATAAAATGTACGGTATTCGTTGCGCCCTTGTGACCAGCACAGCCCTTTCATTTACGAATCCTTTGTTAATAATAAATACTTCCAAGGTTAAATCAACAAACAGGATATAATATTTACATAGATCTTTAAACCTTATTTATTTATGACAGATATTCATAATCATTAAATAATTATTAATAACATTTAGTTATTATATATTCAATATTTAACATTGTAAAGTAACGGTGTTGTTATTACTTATAAATATATTTTTTTTAGCCTCTAGGCATAATAAACGCGAGCATGATTCTAGCAAGTGCCGTGATGGCATACATATCGCTAACGCGCCGACGGGTCGCTGCCGCCCCCGCGCCCATGGGGTTTCGACCTGTGGTTCTGCTCGCTGAGCTGCATGTCTCATAGTGATTTAGTATATCTAAATAACCTCAATTTATTAGTTCATCAATTTGGGATATGAAAGTGCCACAAATAAAAATCTTTCACACTTTTTACTAGTACATTACAGCAACAAAATTTGTTTTGTTGTCTTACATGTAGCTTGGTTTGTTCTCATCACTCTTGTAAGAATATTTGAATTTGAAATGCTCTGATTCACTATATAAATATGCAAATTACATAATATTTATATAATTAGAAAGCAAGTCTTTTATGTAAGAATCAAAATAGTTCACTTAAACATGTTATTTTCTTAAATTAATAACATTTTAATTAAATTATTTAAAAACATTAATAAAGTTATGTACAAAACCAACACCTTAATTAACATGTAAAATAAAACTAACCACAGGCTTCAAATGTTCTGAAATATTCAACAACAGATTCAATAACACACTCTGGTTTGGGCTTAGCTGCCACTCCTGCTATCTCAACACCCAAGTTCTCAATCTTATGAGCTGTAGAGTTTCCGATTGCAAAGTGCGGCAATAAAGAGAGGTTATTGCTAAATGTCTGTAACTGCCTGTAAATGTACTCACAACCTGAGGGACTAAAAAACACCATACAGCAAGGATTTACATTTTCATTTAGGTCTATTAATCTTTCTCTTAGATGTTCATTTTCTTTTGTTTCATACACTGTCAATGGTTCAACTGTCATCTTTGCTGCTCCTAATACGTTTGGTAATATTTCAGATCTTAAGTTTCCACATGGGAATAAAAACCTAGTAGACTCAGGGTTTTCAGAAGCAATCAGGTTTGCCAAATTTTCTGCATTACCAGTAGTGCCACCCAATGCATCCAAGCCAAGCATATGTTTTATTTTCTGACAGCTAACTTCACCCACCGTGTACACTCGTTTTGAATTCCAGGCTACGTATTTCGAGGGAGACCAGCATTTCGAGACAGCTTCGATAGCCCGCGGACTCGATAGTATAATGCCATCGTAATCGTTCTTTGTCAACTTCTCTGAAAGTCCTTGTAAGTTTATAAAGACAAATTGAAGGGGCTCCACAAATATGGGCTCGTAATTACTGTCACTGAACGCATTTTGATAATCTTCGGACGTGCTTTTAAACAATACGACCTTCTTCATGATTTTAACTTTGCTTCTTACATTTAAAGGTTCTTTATTTGTTTGTTTGCTACATAACAAGGCTGACCCTGAAAATGCAGGAAACATGGAGAGAAATATATAAGGCATTGAATAATTAAATAGACGTAAAACTCCTTATTTAATGTTGCAAGATCACAATTTTACACTCACAACTTGTGTTGTATAATTTATTAACAACTGATGATAAACTTACACAAATCTCTATATATTTATATTGTTACAAGGTTATGAAAACCAGAATAACAATCTTATTTTCTTTTATAAACAATGATTCTAAAAAGAACCGTGTTTCGATTTGCTATTTTATTTTTAACTCAGAATTTACTTTCCCAAATCATTACAAAATGCAAACAAGATTTGTATCATAAAACTAAAAAGTCAATCGTCAAACATTTGATGATATGACAGTTGACATTTCCAGTGTTGGCACCTGGCATATGTAATTTGTATGGTAGATAAAAAATTCAGCACAGGTACCTATTTAATTTCTCAATATCGAATCGTTATTATATTAAATTATATTTACACTTTTGTGTTGGGACTGTTAACGAGACATCTACCAGCAGCCGAAGAATGCTGGATGATATTATATTTGGTATTTAATAGACACAGAGCTATCTGTTTTATCCGAAATTAATAGAAAATGTATATGTATAATATTGATTCTTTCTTTTATTACAATGCGTTTGAATATAGAATCGGTTCAAAGTACACAACATCTCTATCTTACTTAGATACCTAGTGATCCTGTGTACTTTATCGTAACACTACAGCTTTCACTTATATAAATATTATTTGTGGTGTAATATTAATACGACGCCATACGTTACATATTCAAATGTTTTAAAGGTCGTCTTAAGTTCGATCCTACCAGTCATAAATAAAAAAAGTTAGGTTTTAATTAGTGTATCTCTGGCCTTGGCGTTGGTAGGGCTATAAACAATACATTCAGTGGCATTACAACTCAGCTTTCTGCATCTATTTCATTTATAATTTTCTTTATATATCGACAATACATATAATAACCTAATCGTCACAATGTATAGTAATTAGGAAAACATTGTGAGGAAACCGGCATATCTCAAATCCAAGAATTGACAACATGTTTAGACAGAAGGCTGATCACCTACTTGTTTATGAAATAAAAGCGATAAAAAGCGGATGCAATATGAGATTAAGAGCCATATAGGTATGGTTCTAGGTTGTATAATGTATATTCATTAGCAATCCTATAATGTAACGCCGTTACAATTTGCACGGCCGGGCCGGTCGGTAATTCTTCTGGAAGAAACTAGCTATATTTTTTACACTATTCGCATCGTAGTAATAATAGTATAAGTACTAAACAACCTAGTCTACAGGCCTAGTCCACATTTTACTCGTTTTAATTCAAGTATCAACGATGATAAATATAAAAAAAATATATGTGCTCTTTCTTGATTTATATTTTGATTTTGGGCCTGACTGAGATTTTTAGTGCTAATGTAATTTTTTGTCATATTTACATATTTCAGGTATTTTTATTATGTTTTTCCGTTCACTATAGTTAATTCAAAATTTATATCATGACTTTAGTCCATAACTATTAATTATAGAATGCGCGATTCCCTCCATAGGGCATAATATGAAATTAAATATTTATAGAAATGCTGAAATATAAGCTAAAAGGAGATTTCTTATAGATTGTGTTCCTACGCTTGAAGTACAATGAATTTATTATTAATACAATTTATCCAATATTCATCGCTGTTTACCTCACGCGTGACCCAGGTTTGCCTTATTATTTCCACTAAACTCATTCAATTTTTTTAGTATATCAAGGAATATTTAGTAAATAGTTAAGTTTACGTAAATATATAACATTAAGGGGCAGTGGCGTAGCTAGGTGATCAAGGGCCCTGGGGCAAATTAAAAAATGGGGCCCCACTGCTATGTAAACTGATTATGTTTTATCAAATAAAAATATGATATATACAAATACTTTAAAAATGCTAAGCTACGTAAGCTCTTATTTGTGCAGGGCAGGTAATAAAAATATTAAACAGTAACAACATAAATTACAATTAATACTTGGTGTAGGTTTGGCGAATAAAATGAAATACAGAAGATTCAAGGGTTTATTATATAAAGATCGGGCCTTCCAACTGACTAAATAACAATTATATTTAAAAAAAATCCTAGCTTTAGTTTTCGCAAAAGTATCAATGACTTCGTTTAAATCCAGTCTTGATGCGGTTTTGTTTTCAATTGCTCTCTAATTCGCGTTATACTGGGTGCCGCACAAGTACTGGCACTAAATAAAATTTGTTTATTTTTTTTATATGACATTTCCTGTCATTCTGTTGTTGAAAATTCTGTAGTGAACAAATGTAAAATACACTGAAAATAAACATGGACCGTTTTACTCCCCAAAAACGTGGAATAATCGTGTCAATGTTCTTACGGAATAATTCATCAGTGATAAAAACACAACGTGAATTTCGTCGACGATTTCCCCACCGTCCGGCATCGGTCGCACAATCCGACGCTTTGCCACACGCCTTGAAGCAACTGGCTCAACATTGGATAGACCTAAGTCTGGGAGACCAAGAACAGGCCGTTCAGTTGAAAATATCGATGCTGTGCGCGAAGATGTGGAAGAGTGTCCAGAAACATCAACGAGGCGACGTGCCACGCAATTGGGCATTTCCAGACGGACCCTGCAGCGTATTTTGGTGAAAGACTTAAAGATTTTCCGTAAGAACATTGACACGATTATTCCACGTTCTTGGGGATTAAAACGGTCCATGTTTATTTTCAGTGTATTTTACATTTGTTCACTACACAATTTTCAACTACAGAATGACAGGAAATGTCATATAAAAAAAATAAACAAATTTTCTTTAGTGCCAGTACTTTTTTGACACGATTTATTGACTTTACCGGACATCAATATGAGTGGTAAAATCAAATAAAATTGAATCACTATATTGGCCAGTACAAAAAAGTTTATTGACATTAGCTTACTTACTCCTGATACAGAATGAATTTTTTAACCGTTCTCAAAAAAAACTCGAATTCACAATAAAATGCACATCGATAAATAATAAAATGCACATATCACTATCCGTCAAATTGGCAACACTGCCAACCTACAGAAAGAATTTAGGGAAATTCCCTAGGCATAACTTTTGAATTTCTCTCAAATTAATGCTTGATTAAAGTGGGGTTGCAACCTGTCATATTTATTTTGAAAATGGGAGAAATTTCCAAAAGTTCAGAACGATCGAGATTTCTGGTGAGGATCCGAGGGCCCCCAGAGCTTGAGGGCCCCGGGGCACTGCCCCGCCTAGCCCCTTGGTAGCTACGCCACTGTTAAGGGGATATCCCCAAGTTTATGTCAAATGAAATAGTTTATATAATCGATTGTCACACATTTTAATCACTACTATTTTTCAACAGCGATAGAAGCTTAAATTCATTACGTTTCCGTAATATTTATATATAATACGTTAATAAATAAAATAAAGGTGTATAAAAATCGGAATAGGATGCAAATTTAGATGTTGAATATGCAAGTGAATCCCTCGATTGAGGACTTATAATACACTTTTTCTCATTATAGTTAAGATGCAAATGAGTGTATGTCCCAATGGATCGGTGGGGTAGAGGGTAGAGGAGGGGAGCCTATCGGACGATCGGAGAATATTCGAGGGGTAAATTTGCATGTAAATACCTAGGCGGGCGGCGGGATCGCTCCCGAATACAAACAACAACTATTTGCATCCCTCTAAAGTCTAAACTGTGCCTCAACTACTACCTTTAACAGTATATAGTTAGAACTTGTGTTTTTTGCGGAATATACAATATATATTTGTTTATATACAATATTGATATATAATTTGTATTATATGAATTCCTACACAAGATATTTTGAGCAGGTAGATCAATCAATATATAGTGCATATGGAATACAAATCGTTTATGGATTTGATATTAATTTATTGTAAAAGGAATTATAATAAATATTATCATCAAGAAGTGAAAATTAAATTAAAAACTGTTTGTACCCCGTTATGAGGCAAACTCAGTATGCATTAAAATATGCTTAATAACTATGACTTACTAACAGATACTTAAAAATAAGAAATATGTAACTATACATTTTTAAGACAGCTTTGTGGAACTTTGGGGAAGAATCCATGTGGCAAAGACAATACATTACTCTATCTCTTTGGTATTACGAATTTGTAATCTTTTTGAAATATATTTTTTAATAAAAGACTCCAAGATGTTGCAGCAGAATAATTGTAAAAATGCATACTTTTGAGTTCATCATGAAAGTACTATTTAATAATAACCCGATTCGTCAACTGATAAGAAAAGAAATTAAACATTTGTAATGACTGTTTAATGACGTTTAAAAACAAAGTGGTGCTCCACCCGATAATAATGGAAGCCATTAAATAAACGGACCATTTCACTAATTGGTCATACATTTAGCCTCCAGTGGATCGCAGACAGTAGACGCCGCAGAGCCACATCCCACAAGCGCTAACTAGCATAGATAACGTGTTACCGAACAAATGATTGTTTGGGCGAGATCCGCAATAATTGATATCGTTAGCGTAGAATTATCTTCAGTTACCTCTGTTTAACTATAATTGTATGTATATATGTATGTAATTCTATCAGGGCTACAATCTAGATGAATAAAAGGTATCTTGGATTTTATTATTTGTAAATGTGACATGAAGAAACATCATGTAAATTTTATTTTGCAGAGTGAATAGTCGTTCTGCAGCTGACTCCGTCCTCTGGTTCTCCATATTACGTCAAGATTAACCGGGAGACATATTTTGTAGAGATTTTAGAATGAAATGTTTAGGCAGTTTTGTTAACGAATATGTCGTATTATAAGATTCTACCACTACTAGTAATCAATATTACTTTGCTTTACTTTTCTACTCAAAGTTTCGACAACACGGACATGGATTGCT